CTGAGAGACTTTCATCAGTTAATAATCTGAATGATAGATTACAACAGTGTTTGCTAGAGCAATGTTCAATCTCTTTCAATCTTTAAAATATTTGAATGCAAATACAGAGTTTGATATTTATTGTTTAAACTTCAAAACGGTAGAAAATAGGTTTTCCTATTGCTTTACAAGAGTTATTGTTAAGAAACCATTAAAAATACAGTAGTTTTCAGTCATTGAATACAGCTTACATGTAATGAAATACAAATATTAGATGAAAAACTTGTAAAACTTAGACTAGAAATGTTGCCTTGGCAACTAAATTTTAAATAGCACTGAAATTACTATATATATATATATATATATATATATATATATATATATATTTATATGAAGAGTTCAGATGCAAAAGCCTCTAAATGCCATTTGAAATTTTCTTCTTTAATGATGATTTTTATCAAACTTGTATATTTAAGTTCAGTAATTTCACTTAAATAACAATTAATAGGTAATTATCATTGCCATTTAAGTGAAGTTACTGAACTTAAATATACAAGTTTGATAAAAATCATCATTAAAGAAGAAAATTTCAAATGGCATTTAGAGGCTTTTGCATCTGAACTCTTCATATACACACACACACACACAACTTTTTTGAATAGACATGAAAATGAACATTTCAAACTTAAATGGTTGTACTTCTAATTCAAGAATGCTTTGGAATATAGACGTAAGATTGGTCTCGTTTTGGCAGATTTTTGTAGAAGTGAAATAAAGTAAGAAAGTGAAACAGAAAAAAACTTATAGAAGTTTGAGTTTATGAAAATGTACAACGTAAAACATTGTTTGTTGTTTCATATTTTATTTAAAATATATATTTTCAAAACCTGGGCGACTTTGTTCTGAAAAATCAGAACAAAAAATTTCAACCTAAAATTTGTGTTTCAAATTTTAGGTTGATGTCTCAAATAATGAGCTTTCAGTGAGACAGTGTGCGCAGTACCGAACGCTTCCACTAGGGTACAACTAGACTCCATTACTACCATAAGAGCGCCTCCATTTCCATTTGTGTTTTGAGTGATCTGAACTATTATTTCCACAATTTTCATACAATTTATGAAGTAGACATCCTATTCAGGAGTAATATGAGAAGTTTGGCAGATGAATATGAATTCAACGCATAAAAAGAACACGCATGTGCGTTATAGCTCGCCGCCGCATCACAAATGGTGAATCTATAATACTTATAGAAAAATATCAGACCTTTTGTTCTAAAATAATTAAATGGATGCTATCTTTTGAACTCTTGAATTATTGAACACACTTGAATTAGAAGTATAAGAGCATGCATTGACATAAATGTAAGTTGTGTGAGTTTTGTTTCTGACTCTGTGTGTCTGATATCAGTGTGTCCGGCTGGATGGAAGCCTGGCAGTGATACGGTAAGACTTGACCTGGATTTCAGTGTGTGTGTGTGTGTGTGTGTGTGTGTGTGTTTCTCTGCAAATATTTACAGTGTGTCTGTCTCTCTCTTTCCACACAGATCATCCCAGACCCTGCCGGCAAACTCAAGTACTTTGATAAACTCAAATGAGGTTAATGTTTCACTGGAGGTTTCTGTTTCCAAAGTGCAGAATAAAAGGAGAGTTTTGATAAACACGGAGTGTGTTTCTGTTTTGTCTTCTGCAATGTGTGTCTGATTGATCGTGTAGGCAAGGCAAGTTTATTTATATAGCACATTTCATACACAGTGGCAATTCAAAGTGCTTTACATGGAAGAAATTAAAATAATCAAAAGAAATCAGAATAATTAAAACAGTTTAGAATAAAAAAAAATCATAATAATAAAAATACCTGGAGAAGAACTGGTTTCCAATGTCATGGAATTGAATGAAATATTAAAATATTTAATTGAGAAAGTTCTACCGCATTCAAAGACTTCACAATAAGGATATTTTTTAATACGTTAACATAAACCTTTGATAATGTTGGTTAATGAATGTTCATGTGCATTAAATAATGTTAATGGATCTTCATTACATGCTAAGATTAACATGAACTAAGATTAATAAATGCTGTCGTCGAAGTATTATTAGTTCATGTTAACCTTATTGAAAAGTGTTACTGAATTTTGGGTTATTTGAGATATTTGAATTAGGGTTATTATAGTTCACTAAAAATAAAACCATGAAGTTTGCTACTTGAAAGAAAATAAATAGTAATTAAAATATAAAATATTTATTTGAACTAATTGCCAAGCTTCTCACAACTCAACAAAATTACTAAAGCTTAACTAACATTTAAAATGAAATATAAAAACAAAAACTAACTCTCAAACTACTACTAAATTATCATAGTATCATAATGATCTAATGGTTTGAATCCTTTCGCTCCACTGATTGGTGTCGGAAATGCAAAAAAAATAAAAAAATAAATAAATAAAGCTGTAGTTTTAAATCGTTAACTTTGGAAGTTCATTAGTCAAAGAAAGGTGTGGGAATCCGGAAAGAAACACACACTGTATCCGATCTATCTGACACTAGAGGGAGATGCGCTGCCGTGTGTAAAGCACAACCAGCAATCCTGAAATGAAAGTAAATCATTAGTGTGATAGTTATAAATGCTATACTTTATAATTGAGTTGAGACTTAATTTCCAGAGTTAAACGACTCTGAATAGGAAACATTTGATTGTTTTTAAAGGGTCATGTTCCTTGAGGTTCTCTTATAATGTTACAAAATATATATGCAAGCAGATGCATATGTAAAATTACACGATCATCAACATAAATTCATACTGAATTCATTATAAAATATTATCCATGTAAATAGAGGCACAAACAAACTATTCACTGATGTGATTTGCAAATAAATGTACATCATTAATCCTGCAATATTAAAAATTGCTTTGTTTATGGAGGATGTTTTAATAGTATAAACACCTCGATGAGTCACATGATCAAGACCAGTTTGATTCCTTATGATTTGACCCCTTTAAAGAGATAGTTCACTTTGAAATTAATTTTTGGTATGTTTTAGCTTACCTCAAGGGCATCCAAGATGTAGGTGTCTTTGTTTCTACAGTATTTTCAATTTTGACATTTTTAGATAATTTTTGATATTGTCTGTCAGTCATATAATGGAGGTCTATGGTCACCACCTCACTTGGACGTGGCTGTGGTTACAAGAGGTAAAAACGATATAAATACTGTTCGTTTTCTCACACAAACTGCTCATTTTGTGTCTTAGGCCATCAATGTGTACTTACATTTATGAGTCATTAAATCATGTTTAATCTGGACTTTTCTGTGCGTGCTCTTGAGGTGGTGACCATAGACCTCCATTATATGACTGACAGAGAAGAACGGTTTGACCTAAAAATATCAAAATTGAAAATACTGCGGAAACAAAGACACCTACATCTTGGAGGCTTGGAAAACATACCAAAAATTAATTTCAAAGTGAACTATCCCTTTAAGAAAAGGCCTCTATTAGTGAAACATGTCTAGATAAGGCTGTTACTGACCCCGTCCCAGATAGCCAAAGTGCAAACATAACTGTCAGGCAATAAACTTATGTTAAATCTTTATGTTGAGTAATAAAGCTTTGCTGCAATTTCAGTATTATGAACACCAACAGAACTGAAGTAGTGCTTTAGAATAGATGATCATGTTCTCAGTGATGTATATTTATGTAATATTTGGGTTTCAAAGGTCAGATAATATGAAATAGTCAGGAAGTTGCAAAGGCCAAATAGATAAAATCCTAAAAGTCATGGATATTTATATATTGTATTTCATTTTCCCCAGTTTCTGTTAAAAAACAGCACACATCGCTATATAAGTCATGGATATTTATTGGTCATGAGGTGCAGGAAACTTCTAACACTTAAAAAAAACTATAGCTATAGTGTCTCGAAGTGTTTGAATGTCATGATACCTGCAAACAAACTGCTGAATTTGCATCCCAATAGTTTGTATTTTGTTTTGCAGCACTAATATATATGATAATACTCCATTATGATTCTCAAAATCGCCAGAACTAAGGGACTAGTTTCTTTGTTTTTGCTCCTGATTTTACTGTGTTTTGGTTCATACAGCAAAGGTCAATCAGATGTTTGGGTCAAAGGTGTAATGCGAAATGTTTTTCATGAAAATACTGCCAGTTTTGTGTCAGGAACAATGGAAAAATCTGCATATGAAGTTACTCAGTGCTAATTCTGTTGTAATATTAGCTGTACAAACCAACTGTGAGTCAGGGTGTGTTGAAAACACACATGAGCAGATCATGGCAAAACAGTCCACCAACTGTCTCGAGCACATTAGCCCTGATTTAGCAAACGTTTGTATATTTAAAATCAATGCAAACCTGACCAATTGCTGATAATTATAGTGTTTTTAATAGGATTTAAATGGGTTTTGCAGATTTATATTCATGATGTGCTTTTGGTTATAAATAAATCATAATGTTTAAACCTATTTTGTTTTGTGAATTTTGCAGTTGACAAAAAGTATGCATTGACTTTAGATTTTGAAATTAATTTGTATTCTTTTTTTTGACTGCCATTTGACTGGATCTGACTTGATTAGCAAATATTATGTAAAATAAGTGTTTATTTTAATGCACATTTTAGTTTTCTGACATTATTAGTGTATTCTGCTCTCTATATATGGTTTGACAATTAATTTTTACATATAGGCCTATCTGCAATAAATAATATAAATGTCTGGCTGTATGTGCAATTGTAATTCAGTTCAATTAGTGCATCGGCCACAATTTTTTAGATTGCACGAACAAATTAATGGTGCACTTTAGTTTATCCAGGATTGTTATGTATTATATGACCTGCGGTTTGAATATTAAGTGCATGTTCATAAACAGAAGATTATTCCAGAATGGTAAACATTACCTTTGAGTGAACAAACATGCCCCAGTTTTCAGCGAGATTCAGTTTATGTTCATCTGGGAGTGTCCTGAAGGTTTCTGCCCCATTTGAGCATCAATAAAAGGAGGAAACGTCCCGACTCTGAACACAACTGAATCATATCAGAACAGCCTCTGGATGCCTTTCCCAGCGAGAGAGAGCAGATCTCGGACCTGTAGCTGAGGGTAACCCTCTGAGAAGCGGATGAAGAAACAAATCTTACTACTTTTCACATACAGAGGACTAGTGAGCAAAGGAAAAAAGAGTAAAAGAAGAAAATGGACAAGTTTATATTACGGAAGGCCGAACCCAAGGACGTGTCTGACCTACTGCGACTCATAAAGGTGAGCAATTCAGTTTTAAACCTGACAAGATGACGATAATCATGTGTTTGTGAGCTCTGAAGAGTAAATACTAGTTAAAGGAGTAATTCAATTTTAAAAAAGACTTTTGCTGATAATTTACTCACCCCGTGTCATTCTTTCTCCAGTCGAAAAGTAATTGGTTCTTGAATCTTGATGAAAACATTCCAGCTTTTTTCTCCATATAATTCACTTCAGTGTGAACCAAACGGTTCAAGGTCCAAAAGACACTTTCAGTACAATCTGTAAACTGTTCAAAAGGCTTTAAACGATTCCAGTCGATGAATAAGGGTCTTATCAAGCGAAAAGATCGCTCATTTAATAAATAAATAGCAAAGTTTAAGTTTTATAACCTCAAATGATCGCCTTGCTCTGTTATGTGACGCACGTTCGTGACTCTCCTGTTCGAACTCGTTCATCAAAATGAACGAATCTTTTTCCGAGTCATTTTGTTCATTCAACGAACGAAACTACGAATTGACTCAGAAAAAAGATTCGTTCATTTTGATGGACGAGTTCGAAGAAGAGTCAGACAGAACAGAGCAAGGCGAGCGTTTGTGCCTATGTAAAACTTAAACTTTGTTATTTATTTTTAAAATGAGCGATCGTTTCGCTTGATAATACTTCATCTTCTGGAATCGTTTAAAGCCCTTTGAACAGTTAGCAGTTTGTAACTGAAAGTTTCTTTTGGACCTTGAACCGTTTGGATCCCACTGAAGTCCATTTTATGGAGAAAAATGCTGTAATGTTTTCATCAAAAACCTTAATTTCTTTTTGACTGAAGAAAGAATGACATGGACATCTTGGATGACATGGGGGTGAGTAAATTATCAGCAAAAGTTTTTTTTGAAAAGTGAACTACTCCTTTAACGCATCCAACATAAAAGTTTGCAAATAGGCCTATATAATGTGTGTATACACAAACAAACACACACACACATATGAGTGTGTGTGTGTATACTGTATATACAAAATCTTTTATGTTAGATGTGATTCATTACAATTACTCAATTTGACAGCACTACTAGTTTTAATCCTAACTTCATCATTTTTAACCTGAATATGTATCTTTTGCATTAGGAACTGGCAAAATTTGAGGAAATGGAAAATCAAGTTATTCTCACTGAAAAAGGTAAGAACATTTAAAGTTAAAGTTCACTGATTGTTAGAAGCTTGATTTCATTAAATGTTTTTGAAAAATACTCACCAAATCTGCATTAATTTGATGAAAATACATTAAAAACAGTAATATGGTAAAATATTACAATTAATAATTTCTGAATAATCATGTGACTCGAGTCACAATGCTGAAAATTCAGATTTGATCACTGGAATATATTACATTTTACAATATATTCACATAGAAAGCTGCTATAAAAATTGTAATAAGTGAGCTGAAAAGCTTTTTATCATCCCATATATTGAACGGCAGTGTAAATGCAATAAGTTTATCTTCTGTTACGGTCTTGTAATTCTTATTTTGCTGCTGTAGATCTCCTGGAGGACGGTTTCGGAGATCATCCCTTCTATCACTGTATAGTGGCTGAAGTGCCCAAACAGCACCAGAGTGCCGACGGTAAGACTGACCCTGGACCTGTTCTCCCCCCAAATCAGGTTGAAGTGAACACACCAGGAGTGTGTTAAACTCCCACAGACGCTTGGGTCACCAAAAGTGTTTCTGTGCATAATGACGCAAAACAGTGTTTGGTAACACTTTGCATTGCAGTGCCCATGTTGCATATGAAGGACATGCAGGTATTAGTATTAGTTCACTCAAAAAGAGATTTTAGGAACATTTATAATTATGCACAGTCCAAAAAAAATTGTTCGTACTCAATATTCCAGTGCAAAATTAATTATCTAAACATTCTTAATTATTTCTTTCCTTAAGAATTAAAAAAAAATGAAGTGAATTTATGCTTAAAACAAGAACAAATATAGGCTCAGAACAATAAACTAATTCAAAGAGGCAGATATTTGTTCTTGTCACTATAATTTTTTTCAGAAAACAAGTCAATTTGCTTCTCAAATGCATCTTGAACAGGAAAACGAGTCAAAAATATTTTTTTTTGCTGTGCAACAACTTAAATTATAGTACAAGTATAGTTCATATTGGGATTTAGGCCATTTTTTTGTAGCTCCTGAAAAGAGTTGCATGTAAAATTTGGCATGAGGGTGAGTAAATGCTTCTTGTTTGTGTGACCTATTCATTAAAGCAACACTGTAACATGAGCACTGTACTGTAAAGTGTCTTTTTTTGTGCATCTGAACATTCAACACAGAGAATTTCAGTTGTTTGACATTTGCCAAGAACGCTTATCCAATCCCCCTCTGTAATTTATTGTCTTCAGGCTACGGTCTCTTGCTTCGCCATGTACATTGCCCGTGGCGTGTACATGGATGGGCGGGGAGGTAACTGAAAGATCGGTTACAATAGTGTAACATATACAATAAACCAGAGGTAAGGCCCACAACAGCCGGGACGTCTCCTGCCTCACACCACACAACAACATGCCCAAAACTAACTCTCTTACAGATGGATCGCATGGACTCACAACTAGGGATGGGAATGAACAATTCCATTAATCAAACTTTGAGTTACTCTGAGGAAGAACAAATGGGCAAATGTTTTGGAAATTATTATAATTGCCCTGATATTGTATTTTAAAACTACATCTGTGGAGGAATGAACGTCATGAAAGACTTTCTGGCGTGTTTTGATTCCCAACCCTACTCTGCTGCACTGCAAAATATTTCTTAATCAGTATTTTTGTCTTGTAAATATCTAAACGTTCTTAAATTAAGACTGTTTACTTCAGAATAATATAAGATATCAACATTCAGTACTTTTTCAGAGGATGTTTAATAGCGCCCCCTACCGTATAACATGAAATAACGGGGATTGCGCGGAAAATTCTGTCAATGGCGGGAAAAATGTTAGCATTAATGTTCTTAATTTTGATATATATTTTTCAGTAAATTTTCTTTTCAGAAATTAAATTTAAATAAAAAAAAATCAATAAAATGTTCAGTTGTAACGCGTTACACTACTTTTTACCCGAAAAAGTAGTTGCGTTACAGTAGCGCGTTACACACAACACTGATGACGACAATGATGTCCTAAAATCAAAAAGTTCTTCCTTTGCGTTTTTCGCAGCGTTGTCAAAAAGCGAAGATGTTTACATGACATACTATGTCATGTTTATGTCATGTAAACATTTACTATGTTTATGTCATGTAAACATCTTCGCTTTTTGACAACGCGAAGTTGTATTATATTATATATATATATATATATAAGCAAGTAAGGAAAAAATATATTTTTTGCAGTGTGGTATAAATGTTCAAATCAACACAATACAAGTGAAATGACACATTAATTGAAAATGTGACCCCTGGAACGACGTGACTGTGGTGTGTGTGTGGGTTATAATGCCAATAAAATCCCACCCAAAATTAATTTCAGCAAAGCACAAACCAACAGCGTTTGTCTCCGTGTAAAATCTGTCTTATCTGTGAATTTGAAGTTGCAACGAAATGCATTCCCTTGCTGCAAACAATAGAGTGAGTGAACCTTTTTTTTTCCAGGTCACGTGATCGTTGGCTTTGCCATGTATTATTTCACCTATGACCCCTGGATTGGAAAACTGCTCTACTTGGAGGACTTCTACGTCATGAAGGAGTATCGGGGTATGAATGTGAGCGAATGCATTTGTGAAATCAAATTGTCAGATTTATGAGTTGTAACACACTTTTCCTTCTGCTCAAATTAGGTTTTGGAATCGGCTCTGAAATCCTGAAGAAACTGAGTGAGGTAATTTCCTTTACAACACCTAAAGATGTTACCATATTTGTTGTATGTTGTTCGAGAATATGTGGCGCTATAACAATATACAGGAACGGCTCATAGAAATAGATGTGAAACAGAAGTGCACTTAATTGTGCACTTGTAGTGTACTTCAAAAAAGTGTATTTTTTTTTAATTGAATTGAAAGATAATATAGTTTAAATGAAATAAAGGGCCACTTAAGTGTACTTAAAGAAAGTACACACTTTTAGAAGTGCACTTTTGTGCAATAGTTTTACTTTTAAGTACACTCTAAAAAATGCTGGGTTGTTTTAACCCAATTTTGGGTAAAATATGGACAAACTCAGCCATTGGGTTAAAAATGTAATTTCAAAATGTAACCCAATGGCTGGGTTTGTCCATATTTTACCCAAAATTGAGTCAAAACAACCCAGCATTTCTTAGAGTGTACATTATAATTCATTACGTTTTAATAATCTATTGTTGTGCTTTAAAGAAGGGCACTTGATTTGATGTGTTGACTTACATACTAAAGCACATGCACTCTAAAAATGCTGGGTTGTTTTAACCCAACTTTTGGTCAAATATGGACAAACCCAAACGTTGGGTTAAATATGTAATTTTAAAAAATGTAACCCAATGGCTGGGTTTGTCCATATTTGACCCAAAGTTGGGTTAAAATAAACAACCCAGCAATTTTTAGAATGTGTAAAATAAACCTATAATTAGTGTGTTATTTGATTTTATTTCAACATCGTCATTACAAATGTGAAATTGCAAATTAGTTTATGCAAGTTTCAATCAAAATGACATTAAAGTGTATTTTAGTTTGCCATAAATGCTAGTCAGTACATTTTAACAATATTTCAGTACAAATAATTATGAAATTGCATATTAAGATGTGCTTACGTGGGTAGTTCAACTAATTGCATTAAATATAAATGTAAACTAGTGCTGTCAAATCAATGAATCACAATTAATCACGTCTAAAATAAAAGTTTGTAAATATTTAATAAATGTGTGTGCATATAACTTAACTAAAATATACTTTAGCGTTGATTAAAACTTCACATTTGTAATGACGATGTTAAAATAATATCAAATAACACTCTACAGGGTTTTATGTTAGATGCAATTGTTTTAATTGCAATCAGCATGCAATTGACATTACTTTTTTCGTATACTAAGGGTACCAAAGCTCAAAGTATATAAGTCTAGTTAATAATTATACCCAGGTTAATGATCTAACATTATACAGCTCCTCCAATCTTTCTCATGCCAGTATATCTTGTACTAAATCAGTGTTCCCAATCATGTGGTCTCCTGCAGACGGCGGTCAGGACTCGGTGTAGTAGTATGCACTTCATCGTAGCGGAGTGGAACAAGCCCTCCATCGACTTCTACAAGCGGCGCGGGGCGTCAGATCTCTCTCTGGAGGAAGGGTGGAGGCTCTTCAAGATCGACAAGCAGAACCTCCTCAAGATGACCAACGAGGAGTGACCCGACCGGATGGGGAGTTGACCTTCAAATGGCATTTTGAAGCATTCAGCGTCTGATTTTTACACTCAAAACCCATAATTCTTATTTGAATTAGAATTAGAATTTAATTCTTATTTAGAATTATATAGCCATAATTCTAAATGGAATTATATTCCCAAAATTCTATATGGAATTATATACCCATAATTGTATACGTCCTCTTTGTATGTGTTTTTTGTATAAAAAGTTGTGAATGAAAAATGTTTAATTCCCATCAAAATACATACATTTTGAAAAGATGACTTGTTTTGATGTAAAGAGATACATGATTATTGTTCCTTTTGTGATTTAATAATTCATGAATCAGAGACTTACAATGCAATGTAATGATGTTTATATAGACATGTCGTATTTACTTCTTTGTACCTCATATTAAATTATACTGGGAGGAAAAAATAAAAAAAAGTTTCTCTTTATTCACCCCATCTTTTTAATGTTATATATATGAGATATGATGCTTCCACATTTTATACTTCGAAACTCAACAATTCCATCCGAAACGATTAAGGCGCAGACACTACAGGCAAAACCATTGGTTTGTTTTTGTTTTTTCATGCACTAGTGAATTTTAAAGGGTTAGTTCACCCAAAAATGAAAATTAAGTAATTAATTACTCACCCCCATGCTGTACCAACCCCGTAAGACCTTCGTTCGTCTTCGGAACACAAATGAAGATATTTTTGATTAAATTTGAGAGCTGTATAACTACCACATTGGCTCCTAAGGGACTGCCTCTTGACGGCCCAAAAAGTCAATGAAGAAAATGTTTAAATATCCCAAGTGACTACCGTGGCTCAACTATATGTTTATCAAGCGACGCGAATACTTTTTGTGCGAAAAAACAAACAAAAATAACGAGTTTATTCGACTATTTCTTTTCTTCCTTGTAGGCCAGAACGAGACTTCCTTATAGATTTCCACGACGCATGCGCGAGAATTGCGATCTAAGCTGGTGTAAGCTGGTGTGAGCAGACTTTCTGGGCCGTCAAGAGGCAGTCTATTTTGCTTCTGTAAGCTATCTTGTTTCAGGCTAGTGGAATTTGAGTGCTTATTACAATTTATCTATTTGCATCTGTACATTTCAATTATAATCCATATCTTTAAAGGCGGAGAGTTTGAGTCAGAAATCTCCACTTCAGCATCTTTACACAGGCCAGAATGTATATTCAAGATAGATAACAGATGTGGTGGCTGAGAGTAAGCCAAAAACACACTCCCAGAAGAGTCTCTAGAACATGTGAGTTAAATTAGCTGGTACTTTTAGACCGGTGGACTCTGTGATCTACTGTATTATGGTGAGAGCAAACCATAGACTGTACAAATAGGAGCAAACAGATGACGTATGGACACGTTTCAAAGCTGACTTATTTCTATAGCGCTGTGACTGTATAATACAGATAGTTAGCTTTACAGTAATAACAAGAAAATTATTTAATGATCCAAAAAAGAGATCATTTCAGCTCTAAAAGAAAGTTTGTTAATAGTGCATAATCTTATTACTGTCACAGTCCTCCGTCTGCACCAGTCTGTCTTGTCTTCAGCACTACACTTCCCATGATCCTCTCGTCTGCACACCTGAACTCACTCCCTCATCAGCCTCCCGTTCAGCGTCCTGTTCATCTGTTACACCTGTTTTCCACCTTGTTATGTTTGATTCTTCCATGTATTTAGTTCCCTCTGTCCCATTCAGTCATTGTCGGTCGTTGTCAATGGATGTTTGTTGTAAGCCCGTGTGGCGCCCGCTGTCTTCCTGCCTGTTTTAATAAACCCTGTTCTCACCGATACTCCTGTCTCCTCGTCCTTCAGCCAGAGCCACACGGTGACAATTACACATATTTGCATAAATAACACAACAACATATCTAAACATTGGGTATAGCCAGGTGAAGATGTCTTGTTGAATATCTGATATGGCAAGACTTTTTCTTTGTTGTCCTTTTTTTATAGAAAGCTATTTTCTTCTTGCCGTGTAAATCTGTTAATATTCTTAATATTTTTCAATCTTGTAATATTCTCCAGAAGAGATAAGCGAATCATATTTTCACTCTTTCTCAGCATGTGATTGGCTGCCCGCTACTGATGTCACTCCTAAACTCCTAAAGAGAGAGTTTGATCATAGTACCAACAAAGCCTGGTCTGATTGGTTTGGTTTTATCAACTCCAGAGTTTGTTCAACTACCCTCATGGTACAGGCCCCAGCTCTCAGTCCAGCTGTTACAGTCTACTGTATTGTTTGCTCTCTAAGAAATTTCTGAGGAATTCCCGGGAACAGATCCAAACTGAATGGGAAGACAGATTTATTTGTGAAGGCCTGCTCTTGCAGGCAGACGGAATGCGACTGTCACATTCCAGTTTGTGTTTGGACTTTCTGTTTGTATTTTTTGATCTCTGGCCTGTCCATGATGGTAGTTGAACAAACTCAGGGTTGCAGGATTAGTTTCGAGTTGACAAAACCAAACCAATCCAATCAGGCTTTGTTGGTACCATGATGCTGATCATCAACTTTCTCTGTCTTTGATCCTGAGTTTAGGAGTTTAGGTGTGACATCAGTAGCGGACAGCCAATCACATGCTGAGAAAGAGTGAAACTCATTCAAAACTCATGGAAATTAATTTCTCACAAGAGTAGCAGTCAATTCACTTATTAAATAAAAGTTTTAAAATATTAAGAATTTAAACAAATTTACACAGCAAGATGAAAATAGATGTCTATGAAAGAGGACAACTAAAAGAAAGTCTTGTTACTGTATATCAGTGCAAGTAAAGTTAGTTTAGGTTTTCCCAGCAGCCTAGCGCGTCTACACATCGAAGTCGGCCGAGTCTAAACCTATATCTTTGCCTAGCGCGTCTACAGTCGGCGGCAGCAGAGTATAACGCTATACCCTAGCCTAGCACATCTACACATCGAAGTTTGCCGAGTCTAACCCTATACCTTAGCCTAGCGCATCTACAGTCAACAGCGGCAGAGTCTAATCCTATACCCTAGCCTAGCACGTCTACATAACGAAGTTCGCCGAGTCTAACCCTATACCTTAGCCTAGCGCATCTACAATCGACGGTGGCAGAGTATAACGCTATACCCTAGCCTAGCGCATCTACACATCGAAGTCGGTATATTATAGGACGTAGTTAGGTCACGGTGTAGGGAAAAATCTACCACACATGTTCTTTCTTTCTTGAGTGTTTCAGTTGTGCTGGTCTAAAGGAAACGCAGAGCTGTGAAAATAACAATGTCTTCCTTCCCTGTGACGTCTGAGACATCCTTACAAACAATTGCTTTATTTATTCAAAAGTTTTCAATAGGTCTGTAGCCTTATTTTCCAGATATTAAGAAATACACAAATGTTTTCATTAGGTCAAGTATTCTGGAAATGACATGTTATCCTTAGGAAACTCTTTTAAATCTCTCAATAAGGACTTCCAGATGAGGGCGGATGTGAGTGAGTCAGTGCTAATTGTATCCCATTCAGAAATACAGTCCGGCTCACGGACTGAAACTGTGAAACTTGTGCTGAGATAAAGACTTCTGCAAACATTAGGATATGGGGCTAAAAAAAGTTTGCATATGTTTTTTTCTTTCTTTTATGGTGTGATATAAAATATGGATCTGATCTCACACTAGAGTAGAGGAGGAAAAACTGTTTTATTCAGAGGCTAAAACTGAGTAAAAAAATACAATTTAGTGCAGATGCTGATATATATATATGATGTATGGATAATCAAATAAATGCAAGTTGCTTCAGTCCAGTAAATGTCCATCTAGAAATATGGACAACATCAAAGTTATTCTTATATTTACTTTATAAAAATCATTAAGCACTCCATAACATATGTATTTTGCATTGCCAAGACATTATTATACTGTTAAAAATCATATCTAACTTTTCTACAATCTAACTATTCTTGGAGTAAACATCACACACATCCACTATATACTAGATGCATTGTTGTTTAAAGTAAGAGTCAAGTATAAAGTGGATGTATGTGATATATGTGTAAATGTTTGTTATATTGTATTATTTACATTTATAAAATGTATTTAAATGTTTTCCATTATAGCAGCCAATTATAAAACCTCATGCAAATAAAAAATGCGTTGAATGTAAAACGGTGTGCTAGATTACAACTGAGCTAACACTCTGTCATCATCAACAATAATAAACAAAGCCTGGAAATATTATTACTAGAATGCAGGCCTACAATCACAGTCTTAAAAAAAGTTCAAGTTGTAGCTGGCAGTTGAGTTAGGCAACAGGCTATGATGTACATTGTGAAATATGTTGCTCATGCCTTGGCTTGGTATAATGACACCCTATGGGAGAACAAGACAATAAAGCAAAGGAGACTGTAGTCTGCAGTCAAATAATATTTTGATTTTGATCTGATGATGCTATTTTACTTTGATAGAGGGTCCAGAAGACTAAAACCATATTAAAAATCTGCGATTATAATCCAATATAAACAAATACTAACACTTTCTTTTGTCTTCTATATCTATATTTAAATGTATTGCTTTAGACTAAACTGGGAAGGGGCATAGGGGGACTTTAATATTTTTGTCCATTTGTTAGTTTAACTACTTTTATTGCTCTCCTTGCTTGGATAAAAGCGTCTGCTAAATGATTCAATTTAATATTTTTGTCCAATTGTTAGCAGTCTATGGTTTAACTGCTTTATTGCTCGCTTGGATAAAAGCGTCAGCTAAATGGTTAAATATAAATGTTTAAACATTTAAAACAAGGTTATGCTAAAAAATAATAAATATACGATTATTTAGTAACATATGTAGTGTCGTTAAATCGTGCTATGTTGGTTTACAACCTTGACACAACATCCAAAACCACTGTTTATTTGATCTGGTTCGAACTGGTATTTTTTGCTGCACTACTGATGTGAGTCAAGTCAGTACTTCCGGTTATGACGTCAGCGCCCACCATATAAATAGCGCTCGAGCTCAGAGTTGAGACAAAGCGCTTCCGGCGACGACTTCATGTGATTCTTCACTAACAGGGTGAAAAACCCAGACTTTCTGCTGAGGGTAACCCCCTTGGAACCGAATGAAGAAACAAATCTTACTACATTTCACATACCGAGGACTAGTAAGAAAAGGAAAAAAGAGTAAAAGAAGAAAATGGACAAGTTTATATTACGAAAGGCCGAACCCAAGGACGTGTCTGACATACTGCGACTCATAAAGGTACAAACAAACCCACGGCGCATGCGTATAACATTTAACAGAATAATTATTATTTTTAACTTTAAACTTAGAATTTTTTTTACGTTCTGGTCGTTTGTGGAATAATATACGCCGTTTAACTAATTTCAGGAACTTGCGAAATTTGAGGAAATGGAGGAACAGGTCGTCCTGACCGAGAAAGGTAACGTTACATCCGTCGTTTCAGTGTATGGTGTTTATGAATGTATTTGAATGTATGATGGTTATTTAGGCCTGTTTGTTTTCCAGAGCTGCTCGAGGACGGTTTCGGAGATCATCCGTTTTATCACTGCGTCGTCGCTGAAGTACCGAAGGATAAACAGTCTCTTGAAGGCAAGTTTACGTCACCAGTTTATTTCCAGGATTTTTTGTTATTTTTTTTAAAAATGTTATCGTGAATCAATATTGTTACTGCTAATGTTACTATTACGATGGAATTTTTTACAGTTTATCTTTCTGCGTCATGCTTTGGGTGACGTCAGATCCGCTAAATCATCTCCCGTTACTTTCTGTTCTCTTATATTTTAGTTTAGTCTCTTGTTTATTTATATTAAACTAACTTTGAAAAATCTTGGATTGTTGTCTTTTCGGATGTCATGTAATTGTTTGTATGTTTGTCTATTGTCTTAATAAAAAAAAAATAATAATAAACTTTCTGTTCTCTGCTGTACTCATGATCCTCCCGTTTTTTTCACTTCAGGTTATACAGTGGTTGGCTTTGCTATGTACTACTTTACCTATGACCCCTGGATTGGGAAGCTGCTTTATCTGGAAGACTTCTATGTAATGAAGGAATTTAGAGGTATTAAGACATGCTACCTGTTGCTGTAAACCAAGAATTGCCTTGAAATGGTCATGTATAATAGATCATATATATTATTTATTTCCCTACTAATCAGGTTATGGGATGGGCTCTGAGATCCTGAAGATGCTAAGTGAGGTATGCATAATGCATTCGAGAAACCTGTCTTGTTATGGGTCGTTTTCAAAGTCATCTAAACACCTTATTCAAATGTTTTTGTCCTCAGACGGCAGTGAAGACTCGATGCAGCGGGATGCACTTCATCGTGGCCGAGTGGAACACGACATCCATCGAGTTTTACAAGCGGCGCGGAGCATCGGATCTCTCTCACGAGGAGGGATGGCGTCTGTACGAGATCGACAAATGCAACCTACTCAAGATGTCATCCAAGTAGACGCCAGTGCAAAAGAAACAGTTTGATGGAGGATTTTATTAGAGTAGACCAGTGTTTCCCAACCCTGATCCTTGAGGCACACCAGCACCACACCTCCACACACACTATACAACTGTTCCTAATCTGAGCTAAAGATTAGTAGTGAGGAGACTAAAATGTGCACTGTTGGTGTGCCTCCAGGAACCGAGTTTGGAAACGCTGGATAGACAATCGTTGATACACCTGCAATGTATCGTTTACAATAAAGCTTTTACTTTACGAAAGAGAGGACTGTGTGTGACTTGATCACTGACTTTGGTCTTGGTTAAAGACATGCTTATTTATTGTTTAAAAATGTCTAAATAGAAACTCCATTTTGATTTAATCTTGACCTTTGAGTAACTTTCTTCTAATAAACAGGTTAAAAAGTACGTGTGTTGGACATAAAGACAGATGATGATAAAGAACCGCAAGAGCGATTAGAGGAAATCTGTCTCTGTCACTAAAAAAAACAAGTCGAACATCTAACTTCCTTAAAGACATATTATAATCGTATGGTGCTGTCGGGAAACGGGTGTTATAATCAAGACGAAACCAGTTTAGAGGTTGTCTAGTTGCTTCCATTTGCAGTTTCATTTTCATGTTTGCATGGAAAGAGGAAGTTCAGAGTGATCCGACTCAAACAACATGCTAACCCCAAACATGTTTCCTCTTGAACTACAGATGTATACACTTGTCATAAATCACATCACACTGTGTGTGTGTATATATATAATTTATTTAGGTACACCAGTGCATTTAACACAATCCCAGTAGTTAAAAACGTTCCAGACAGACCACTAACACCTCTCAGATGAAAGAGGAAGTGGCTAGTGCAAAAGTATGTCATAAAAGTGAGCGAACGACGGAGATCTCATCTCTGCTTTACCATAACAAACCTGAGAGTTGATTATGTACCTATAAACAAACACACACACACAGCAAGGGAAAGTCATGTGAATAACAAAACGCACGTAGCCCTCAAACCGTATTCACTTTATAGCCCTTAATCCTGTAATTGTGGACAAATGTGGGCACAGAGGACTTTTTATTTATTACAAATGTTATATCACTGTCTTCGATAAAGTTTTGTCTGTCCATTTATGGTGTTTAATTTTATTTTGGGGGTATTTTTTGAATTTATTTACTTCAAAAAGTACCATATTTTCGATGTAAATTATGCTTATTTTTATGTTTTATTTTTTATTTTTTTTTAACTACATTAAAATATCATTCCAATAAGTTCTTAGAGCTAAAACCTAAAGATGAAGTGACTTTGCTGTCATTTTAGACTGCTTTAAATTACAGTTTTTCCCATTCATTTCTATGGGTGCCCATTTTTGACCCAAATATAAGATTAAGGAGTTTTTTTTCACCCACTTAACATTGTAGAATTGAGTCAAAAAAATTGTGTGTTCAGGAGGCAAACTTAGGAAAAGTAGCCAAGTCTTGCACCGCTCAGATCAAGGGAAGTATTTTTAAAAAATAAATCAAAACTATTTTGCCCACATTTGTCCAGAATACGGTATTAGGGTTAAAGATGCCTGAATGTCATTACATTAGAGAGCAAAATATTAGCATTTATTTTCAATAAAACAGTTAAAGGGATAGTTCACCCAAAATAAAACTTTTTGAAGAATGTTGGTAATCAAACAGTTGACTTCAATAGTGTTATTTTTCCTACTATTGAGAACTAATCTCCTCTAAAACAGCTTTTGTAAAGACACTCATAGAGGTTTGGGGGTGAGTAAATGACAACGTTTTCATTTTTGGGTGGACTATCCCTTTAAAGCAAAACATTTAAAGAGGACAAAGAATGTATTGTGTTAGTATGTGATTGGATAATGTTGTTAATGTGATTCTCTACACCTGTGTAAACTGATTTCAAACATTCACTAAAAATCACGGAAGTGCAAAAGTGGCCAGAAGCCGTTTTAGCTTTTATTCATTTCCAGGATATGAATTCTTGATACCAACAATTCAATTCTTGATATGAACAATTACATTTTTTGAAATCAATCAACAATTTAATTGTTCACATCAACAATTGTATTTTCACTAGTGAAATGTCACCATTGGCTGCCATTCAAAACCAATTGTTGATATCAATAATTGATTTCTTACTAGTTAAAATTCCAATTTCACATATCAGAAATACAATTATTACTAGTAAAAACCTTTATTTTTGATATCAATAATTCAATTGTTACTAGTTGAAATGTCTATTCTTGATATCCACTATTGAATTGCTACTATTAACAATGTTCATTTTTCATATCAATAATTCAATTTTTACTAGTGACAATGTTAATTTCTGATATCATGAATGCGATTGTTACTAGTAAGAAAGCCATTTTAGATATCTGAAATAATATTGATATCAGAAATACATTTTCAGATATCAAAAATGACAATTTTTACTAGTAACAATTTAATTGTTGATATCAAGAATAAACATTTCAACTAGTAACAATGTAATTATTGATATCAAAAATGATATTTCTACTAGCAAAATCAACAATTGATTTTGAATGGCAGCCTATGGTGACATTTCACTAGTGAAAATACAATTACAGATATCAGCAATTAAATTGTTGAAATCAAAAAATGTAATTGTTCATATCAAGAATTCATATCCTGGAAATGACTAAAAGTTAAAACGGCTTGCCATAGTGGATTTTATTGGTGGACACTCACTTAATAAGGTAATCTGGCAATTTTATTACCATTTAACATGTTTTATGTGTCAAGAATTCTCAACGCAATATGGAAAAGGGCTTGATGTGACTTCATAAATGTTGTCGAATAAATTCTGTGCAGCTGTGTTGTGTTTCCACGCTGTTTATAATGTTTTGTACCTAAGCTTTGGTCTCCCCGCTGGAAGTCTTTTCCGCTTGATCCTATTAAAAGACAAAGCAAAGTGAAAGCTCAGTGTCACAATATCTGCAGCTCACACACACAGTACAACGTTCCTCTAGAAATGCCAAGTCACTTTGATTCCCAGAGAATGCATGAACCAATTAAAACGCGTATAAAGGAATAGACAAACTCGCCTTCTTTGACGCCGGTGTGTTTCTGATCAGCTTCTCCACAGAAACATAAACCTGAAGCGCCAGGTCGTATACGGAGTCTCCTGTGCTCTGTGTCGTGGGAAGATTAGAAACAATCACTTCAGTGTAAAGAGTCATTCACACACGTCACTTTCAGTAGATGTATTGTGTGTTTAAACTGCTGAATGCCCTGATGTTATTGGAGGATTATACAACTGGTCATAGCTTTCGGGAAACTGGTCTTAATGTGATGCATTGCTGGGAAAAATAGTGCAGTAGTCAATGTTTGTACTAAGACAAGAATGGTATTGTTCAGTATAACTTTGATTAAAAAGTTAAATGTAGACTACTGTATTCTATCTATCTATCTATCTATCTATCTATCTATCTATCTATCTATCTATCTATCTATCTATCTATATTAGGGCTGTCAAATGATTAATCGTATTCAAAATAAAAGTTTGTGTTTACATAATATATGTGGGTGCACTGTGTATAATTATTTTATACATAAATACACACACATGCTTGTATATATTTAAGAAATATTTCCATGTACAAAGTATATACTGTATATAGATTTATATATAATTTATATTATATATATATATATATTTGATATATAAATATTTTTTTTCTTAAATATACATGCATGTGTGTGCATTTATATATATATATATATATATATATATATATATATATATATGAAGAGTTCAGATGCAAAAGCCTCTAAATGCCATTTGAAATTTTCTTCTTTAATGATGATTTTTATCAAACTTGTATATTTATGTTCAGTAATTTCACTTAAATAACAATTAATAGGTAATTATCATTGCCATTTAAGTGAAATCACTGAACTTAAATATGCAAGCTTGATAAAAATGTATCATTCTAGAAGAAAATTTCAAATGGCACTTAGAGGCTTTTGCATCTGAACTCTTCATATATATATATATATATATATACATACAAAATACTTATACACAGTGCACCCACATATATTATGTAAACACAAAATTTTATTTTGAATGCGATTAATCGCGATTTGACAGCCCTAATATATATCTATATCTATCTATATACATCCATATCTATATATATATCTAGTATATCTATATATATAAGACAAAGACATGTTAACTCAAAGTAACAGTGTCAACAAGTAAGTCTGTGTATTTCATTCACTTTTAAAAGTGACTTTTGAATGACATTTGTCTTGTTTTCCAGCACATATACATCTAAACCTTAAAATCAATATGCTTTTACTAGAGAATCAAAATGACACATTGCGTCTTGTTTTCTGGAAAATTATAGTCTAACAAAATATAGTTTTTGCCTAAAACGGAGGGGAAAAAACAGCCAATGGAGTCCAGAAAATCCCCTCCCCCCTTTCGATTAAGTGTATTTTTCTGACTACATATAGAAAAATACCTCACACAGACCTATATACGTAAAGCAAAAACTCACTTGATACATTTTTCAGAAAAATAAAATATCTAAAGTAAATTTATCTTGATTTTAGAATGTTTAGGTACTGGAAAACAAGTCAAAATTGCTAAGTAAGATTTTCGCCGTTGTTGCACAGAATGACAGATCTCAAATTACTCGCAAAAATGGTGCTAGTCCAAATATTAGGCCACGTTTGAATGGCCATCAATGAAGAAAGTGCAATGCATTTTGGGGCCGGATGGTGTAGTAGTGTAGCAAACTGGTGTATGCAATAACCGTACGTGGTGACCTGAGGGTCATCGGGGTGAAATCGGCCTATTTTGGGCTGTTTAATGTTTTTAACCAGTGACCCCGCTGGCTGTTCAGGACGTATCTATCAGCATATCTGACAGGACGAGGACACGCAGCGGCGAAACTGCCCTTTAGAGAGCTTCTAATATAATATGAAAGCGTTCGCTCGTGCCATGATGTGTGTTGACAGGGATTCAGCAGGTCGTGTGTGACGGCGAGAGATAGCGAGAGAGGTTCACACCACTTTCCACTGCAAAGACCATGTTAGTGACTTATCAAAACACACAAGCGGCTGATAATAACCGCAGTGTTGATGCACATCCCAGCGTGAGCTTCAGCCTGTGTCCTTGGGAGTTGTTAGGAATGTGTTTCAGCTGCTGTTTTGGTGGAAAGTTACGGATCGTAACCTCGCCTCACCCTTTTCCTCCTCTTGATTTGAGGTCCCACATGATAACATCT